GTGGTGGGAGGTGCGTGAGTAGGGGTGGTGCCCGAAGCAGGCAGGCGAGGCCTGGCATGGGGAGGGTCGACGGGGCTGTGCGGCGGCCGAGTGCGCGGAGTGTTGGATGGCGCTCTCGCAGCCGCCAGTCCGGCCGGCCGCGGGACACAGCGCCGGCAGCCTCTTGCGCACTCGTTCAATAGTCTTGCCCGAGGTCTGGAGGGCGTCGTGCCGTTGTTCTGACAGCTCGCCCCCCTGCACCCCCTCCAATGTCACCGACCCCCAGCGACGACGTGCGCTCGTCGTACGCGGCGCTGCACGGCGGCGCCGCCCCCGACGTGAGCGCCGCCGACTTTGCATTTGCGGGCCACGCGGTGCTGGCCACGCTGCTGGTGTCCTGGCAGTACGTCACCATGCGCCGCCCGGAGGACAGCGGCCTCAGCCCCCTCGCGGCCGCGGCTTGCGGCGCCGCGGCGCTGGCGTGCTGCGGGGCCGTGGCCCAGATCGGCGCGACGTGCGACGTGTACGACTGCGCGTCGTGGATGCCGCTGCTGCTGCTGCTGGGCAGCATCAAGGTCTGCTGCACCATGGTCAAGTGTGAGTGCGCCCGCGCGGCTGGCCTTTGAGGGGAAGAGGGGCGAGGCAGTTGGAGCGCTGCCGTCACCGTCCGGCAATCTCGATTTCCCCAATTCGCACCAGCGCGCCCGCGGCCCAAGCGCTGCCGAGCCGCTGTCTTGCCGCTCGCGCCCACATTCACGGCTGCACCCACAGCCCGCCCCGGCGCCTGCGCCCCCCCGGCCCGTGTCACCCCTCTGCCCCCAGACACGCCCCAGGTGCTGCACAACCACCAGCGCCGCTCCACCGGGGGCTGGAGCCTCACCAACGTGCTGCTGGACCTGGCGGGCGGCTCCCTCAGCTTTGGCCAGGTGCTGTTTGACGCGGCGGCGCGCCACGACATGTCGGTCATTGCGGGAAACCCCGCAAAGCTCTGGATCGCGGCCCTCAGCATAGGGTGAGGCCCACGGCGGACCGCTCCGCTTCGCTCCGCGCACAAACGGGCAGGACGCACCAGGGGCGGCCGAGCAGGGCGGTTGCGCGGCGCGGCGCGGCAACGCCGCTGGCGTTGTCGGAGGGGTGCGTGCTGCGTCGCCCAAGGGAAGCCGCCTGGCCTTTGCCTGGCCCTGGGCACGCCTGCCCCTCACCCACCCGCACACACCCATTCTCGCGCCCCCTCAACCCAGGTATGATGTCATCTTTGTCCTGCAGCACTACGTGCTCTACAAGGACGACAGTCCGACGTCCACCTCGCCACCTGGCGCCGGCGCCGGCGAGGCCGGCCGCGCCGGCGGCGCGCAAGCGCAGGTGGTCGCGACCGTGCCGGTCGCGGCGGAGCGCGGACGCGAGCAGCCGCGGCGCCGCTCCGGCGTCAGGGCGTTTGCGGAGCGTGTGCGCACCACAGTCAAGGGTGCCAAACCGCAGCCCTGAGTTGGCTGCGCATCATACGATGGCCGAGCAAGGCGCGCGTCCGCACGCGCGGACCACCCAGTCAGTTGTAGACGCCGTTGCATGCAGCTTGATTCGTGTCCTGAACTGATTGGCGTGCGCGTGATTGCGAAAGAGCAGGCGTGGTTGATGCGGAGCAGGCGGGGCGCCCCTCGCGCCCCGCACCCGCCCTCCCCGCTGTACCATCACCCCTATCCTTCCCTTAGCGAGCGAAGAAGCATCATCCTTGTATTTGGTGTTTGTGCGTGTCCAAGCGGCCCAATTTGAGCCGTGCCTGCACGCGCGTAGGGCGGCAGCTGCGCTGCAGGTTCCTCCACACCGCCCTAGAACGGAAAGAGACTCCCTGATTGTGGGCTTGGGGGCGGTCCAATCTTTGGGGCACACCACGCGTTGAGAAGAGCGAGCGAAGGCATGAGTGTCCGTGGCCCCGTGGGGCGCCCTGGCTGCATCGGGCCCGCCCAGCGGCACGGCACCGCCACCCCTGATCCCCCAACTTAACCATTGTCCTTGCTTGTGGGATCGGGGTGGCGCTGGTTGGAGAATCTGGGGTGGCACTCGTGGTGCCACCCGCTCCCCGCACCTCATTTGTTGCAGGGTGTGGGGAGGGAAGGGTCAACATCGTGGCGGGTGAGAGCGCGCTGGCCGGCATTACGCCATTCCACCGGCCTAGGCGCACACAAACCTGCACCACAGGCCTGCTGGCCGCCTGCCCGAGGGACCAGCGCCCCAAGGCTGGAGCGAGCGCCGTGTACAACACAAACACAACAACGCGTACGTGTAGCTGCTGCCTGCGCGCACCCGCCAATCGCCCAGGGCCTGTCGAAACTCGGGGCTGCTACGCCTGTGACGCGAGGGCCGCCTGGCGGCCAGCAGCGGCGACGCCCTGCACGTGCCGCCGAAACCCAACGTTCACGTCTGGCTGGCATTGCTCCTCCACCTGACGGCCTGCATACCCGCTTTGTGGGCGCTTTGGGTGCGGGCCTCTCCTTGCCCTGGCAGGTCCCTATCTTTGAATCGGTGGAGCGGCCAAAGTGCTGCAATGCGTGCGGACCCCTGCGCTGCGCCCTGCTGCGGCTGCCTGAGCTGCACCTGCCACCAGCCATGTGCCCACTTGGCCATGACACGTGCCATCCATTCAACACCTGTATACCAGCACTTCACATTGCGCGTTGCGGGCTAGCGTCGATGCGTCGCCAATGCGCGCCTCCTTTACGCTGTTTTAGGCCCGGTTTGAGGTCATTCACTGCGGTTGCCTCCGCCCAAGCAGCGGTTTTATGCAACGGCCTTACCTGGCCGCGCACGCTTGCATTGCAGGTCGTTAGTGCTGGGGCAATTGCCCGTGCGTCTGATGCAGCGGAAGGCTTGTAATTCGAGCCGTGTGCTGGAAAGGCGGGCATATGATCGGCTGGCTTGTGGACAGCTGCATCGCAGCTTCCTCAGCTTGTGGATCGGAGGGCGTCATGCCGGTCCAGCCTTTCACGCTAGCCGGGGCAGCCCCGTCTTGCTGACGGAGTCCAGGGCCAGCAGCAAACCCGCAAATAATTGTCCTGCTGGGGTGGCCCTCCACCATGCTCACCAGCCTGGGATGTGCCATCGCACTTACTGCAACAAACGGTTACTTACACCAGAACGGGTCAATACAGCATCTTCCATGATGCATACACAGGCCAATGCGCTGATCATTTTGGGCTAGCAGTTGTTATGCTGAGGTGATGGAATAGCTGAGGAGGTAAAGCGAGGACTGCAGTCAAGGAATTTGCAAATAGTCACCCCCCAGGTCACACAATGCTGCTGATCAAACTTGGCACGTGCGGCTGCGAAGCGGGCCGCTGATGCATCGTGGCCGGCGCCGAATGGTTGCGCTGCTGCATTGACATGTGCACCTGCTGTTGCAGATGCTGCTGCGCGAGCTGCTGCTGTTGCGACAGCTGCTGCGCGAGCTGCTGCTGTTGCTGCGAGAGCTGCTGCAACAGCTGCTCCGGTTGCTGCTGCTGCTGGGACGCCTGCTGCGGCGGGGTCGCCGGCGCCGGCACCTGGGGCGGGGGTGTCGCCACATACCGCACGCGGCCCGCGCCCGGGCCGCGCTGTGCCATGCCCGGCCGCGCATCGGCCGCGCACAGCAGCGGCTTGCGGCAGTCGTCGCTGCCCTGGCGGCCCTGAGGCAGGCGGCGGCAGGGGCAGGAGTCAGTTGAATCAGATGAGAGTGCCAAACCTGGTGCGGCTGCGTCCCCATTGCCCTTCAGAACCAACCATGTGAGCCGTACATGATGCTACATGGCAGCGGCGCGGCGCAGCCACGTCCGGCTCCGTGGCCACCAACCACCCGTGACCCTGGCACCCCCCGCCACCGCGAACCCCAGCCTCAGCGCCCGCACCAGCTCTGCATCGCCGTCCACGCCGCCGCCCTCCACCCGCGCCAGCCGCTTTGTCAGCGCGCGCTTCGTGTAGACCGCCGACCCCACCAGCACCAGCACCGCCGTCAGGCCAGATATCACCGCAAACGCGATGCGCGCTGCAGCGTGAGCGCGCGGGCAGGAAGGCAGAGGGGGCATGCAGCCGCAGTGCGAGGGCGGCGTCAGACACGAAGGCGGCGCCGCCTTGTGGCGGGCGCTTGGCATTCAAGCCGCAACCTTGGCAGCCACTGGGGCCTCCAGGCTCCCAAGCGCAGCTCAGCTTGCTCCTTCAACCGTACTCCACCCTTGCCCAACGCGCCATGCCCTTGCAGGTGCGTGGCCCTTACCCTGCGGCGGCGTGGCGCTGGCGATGGCGCCCTCTGCGTTGGCCACGTCCGACAGGTCCTTGAGCAGGTTGCCGCCCCACACGTAGAGCGCAATCCCGGGGGCGATGCCAAACACCGAGGGCCAGAAGAAGTGGGAGAAGGGCAGGCTGGTGGAGCCCAGGGCGTAGTTGAGCAGCGTGAAGGGCGACGCGGGGCAGCAGCGCAGCAGCAGCACCAGCTTCCACCCGTCCTCGCGCAGCTGGGGTTTTGCGGGGGGGAGGTTGAGGGCGACGTGCGTGCAAAGGGGTCGGGTGGGCGGAGGTGTGAAGGGTTCGGGGGCATGAGGCGAGCAGCAAATCGCGTGATGATGAGCTGCAGCCCACGCTCACGCGGCAGCCAACAACTGGCCGCAGGAAGAAGGCAGCTGCATGGAGCGCGGCCGCGCAGCGGACGGCGCGTAACCAAACAGGGCGCCTCGCTGGACACGGGGGCCAATGCTCCTCCTAAGCAGCCGCTGCAGCCCACACACGCCCACTCAAGGGGCGGTGAGGCTCACCGCTGCCTCCATCGCCACCCAGGTGGGCCAGGCCGCTGAGACGCGCTCTATGTAGGCGCGGAACAGGTGGCGGCCCAGGGCGAAGGCCAGGGTCTCCCCCACGACGCAGGCCGACCACACCAGCATCATGCCGCGCCCAAAGCCAAAGAGCGCGCCCGCGGCCACGGCCAGCACTCCCGTAGGGATCAGGCAGACTGAGCGTAAGGGGCAGCGCGAGTGAGGAGTATCGTGTGTGTGAGTCTGCGTAACAAGGCACCAAGGCGGACACTGCGCGCGGGGCCCACATCGTGGTCACCTGGAGCAAGCGTCACATATCAGGCCGTCCGCTGCGCCCGCAGGGCGCGTCGTCGCCCACCCCGGCTCCCCCTGGGAGCGCGCCCCCGCGCCGTCGCTGCTCACTGGTGAAGGTGATCTGGATCGCGATCAGGGCCACGGCGCCTTTCGTGCGGTGGGAGTCCACCCAGTGCACGAGGGCCGACAGGCGGCGCCGGTCCGCGGCTTGGTACGCAACCAACAGCAGCACCAACAACACAAGGGCAACCAGGGCTGCGGGACGCGGACGTGGGGCAAATGCATGCTTGTGTGGTCGGGGTGCGATGTGCGGCACGGGCGCGCACACGAGCGGCCGAAGCGCGAGAGGGACGCACAAGCAGAGACAGCAGCACGAGCAGCGAAGCGCACACTGCACTGCACGGTGCTCACCGCGGAGGGCCCAGCTGCTGCGGGGACGCCGCTGCTTATCTGTGCCGTCACCTCCCTTATCGAATGGCGGAGCTAGGCCGGAGCCCTTGAATCGCTTCCCAGAATTCTCCATATTCCCCCCCATGGCCCGCGAAGCTTTTTGCGGCAGCGCCTCTGTCACGTCAGGACTTTGATAACAAGTGTTCCATGGACCTTGATGGCCAAAGCTGGCGAGAGAGGGCGGGATGCTTCCCCTGATGCCACACTGGTGCCTCTGACACGCCAATCGGCAAAACGCTACACTGCGCGTGACAGAAGGAACGACGAGAGAATTTAAAGGGCTGCGTACCACATCAAGGCGCGAATGGGCAGCAGGTATCATATGGCCGCCCGTCACCGCTGGCCAGCCCTCCTCACTCGTGCACTCACCTGTCGCAGACCATGGCTCCGATGCCAGGACCCTGCATGGCTGGGCAGTTGCTTCTGTGCATGATGTGACGAGGCTGTTTGCAGCCGTTTTCATTGGCCGCCCCTTGGTAGGCACATACACCGGTGTGTGGGGCTCTATCCTGTGAGGGGCAGTATCTCACATCTTCACCTTTCACACGAGCAGGGGCAGCACACACAATTCCATGCGTATGGTAGGTTTTGAAGCAACTTCTACACGGGCAGGCTGGTAGCTGTAGCAGCACCAGCCGCCCCAAGGTTCAAACAAGCACTTGACGGGCCCACGGCGCTCACAAGTCACCTCACTTGCCACGAAGTGGACTGTAAGCCGTGTGCAGACCCATGATACTGCGCGCCCTCAGGACACATGATGCGAGATGCACATGCGTGCGACAGCACCAGGGCCCTTTGTGAATGGGCGTGACTGGGATATTCAAGGGAGCAACATGACCTCAACCGTCTGGTGGTGCCAAGACCATGCGCAGTGTGCAAGGATTCATGTGCTGAGCTTAGGTGGCATGCAACCAGACCGGGATGTTGATGTGCGCCGCATGTTGCGAGGCCCCTCCACATTTATACGCTTGAGGCTGCCGGAATCGCCTGCCCCATCAGCAGGTCCTTGCCTGGTCAACAATGCTGCATTGAAAAAGCCACGGAGTAGTGCAGCTTTGTTGCCTTCTTCTGCGTAACGCTCCTGGAGTATGTTGCGCTGCACCCACTTATAATTTGCTGTGTGGTCAAGGCGGCACGCACGGCCACGGGGGAGCTGTCGATGCTCGACGCAACCTGGCGGTGCCGAATCATATCTGTGCTTGCGCTGCACCCGCCTGAGCCGTAAAACCAAGTATTTGTGACGGGCATGATAAGGGGCCGATGCATCACAGCCTCACATAGCATGCAGTCTCTATGGACAGGTCCAGTTGCACCAAGCGTTGGACATGGACGACGGTGTGTGCGCGTAGTGGACGGCCGATGCGCCAAGTTGACCAGGGGCGGGTGGCACCGTCAGCAACACGCAAAACAAGAGAGTGAGTTCACGTTTTCAGGCATGGCTGGGATTGATACGACCGGGGACTTGCGCCGTTGTCACGGTTGGCAGTGCCGTGTTTCAAGTCAGATAGGTACGAGACTATGAGGTACGCGAACGAAATGTCTCATGAAGAAAAATTGTTATTGCGAAACATCATAATGGTGGTGCTGGGCGGTGCGCCGTGGCAGCGCAGCGCCAGCAGCCGCCAGGCCGTGCACTAGCAGCCGCCGCCAGGATGTAAGACCTTAGACGGGCAGCGCGTTCGTCGTTCTACATACAGAGCTTGATTTTCAATATGCAAATATGTAGCCGAACGCTCAAGATAGAAATCAGGGCAAGCACAACGTGCGCTTGAAGCAGTAGCCGCCGTCAGCATCGCCCGAGCTTATATGCTGCTGCCGCTCACATGCTGCCAGGGGCCCTCCTCCAACCTGCTATATAAATTTTCTGCCATAGCCAAGATCCAGGGAGCTGGGTCTACAACTTTTTCAGCCGGAAAATGACATGGCAGCGCTGCACCTTTTGCATTTCAAAGAGAGTTTGGGTGCTGTACTTGAGTGCATTCAGGGCCCCATATGTTTACGACTGTACACATACAGGATTATTTGTATAGTTCGTACACCTGTTTGTCTTTCATAGACAAACAAGCATCACACTCATGATGAAGATATCCCACTGCAAACGCACGACTGCGGGTTGAGACATGCGTACGCAGGATGGCAGAATGGGCCATACATTGTACTTTTGCTCGTCCGGCCACCAGAAATCAGAAGCTGACAGTGGTGGTGCGGCCCCCAGCCATCTCATACACCATGTCCACCGCCTCACTCAGCGCCACCTGGCCGAATCGAGTGATGTAGTTGGCGTTGAGCCGCAGCTCCTTGACAGCGCCCTCCGCGTTGGCCTTGAGCGCCTGGGCCGAGGGGGATGGCAGGTTCCAGGGTTGTAGATTGCGGGCCGAGGCCACATGTCGGAAAGGAGCATGGTGTCCAGTGGCCTGCGCCCATCTGCAGGTGGCTAGCAGTCCCTTTCATGTGCCCAGCTGAAGGCCCCATCCCGGCCCTTCGCTCAGATGCCAAACGACCCCGCGCTACACACCCGACACGATCAACCCCCCTCCCAACCTGTGCCAGCGCGCAGGCCCCGTCGTCCTTGATCTCGTTGTACCCCAGGTCCAGCTCAGCCAGCCGCTTGTTCTCGTGGGCGCGCAGCCCGCGGCCGATGAGGATGGCCCCGTCGTTGCCCAGAGCATTGCCACGCAGGTCCAGCTGCGGCGGTTTGCAGGACGGGCAGAATGAGGGGCCAGGAGAGGGTGAGGCGGCCTGCCAGCCAGGCAGGGCAGCTGAGCACGGCACGCGCCTGGCCGTCGAGCTGCACCTAGGACACCCGGGGGGGGTGGCCTCCTGTGGAGTGGTGCTGCGCCGCTGCGCCCACCTGCGCCAGTGTTGTGTTGTACATGATGAGGTCCGCCAGGGCCCTGGCCCCGGGGCCTCCGCCGATCTTGCACCAACCCAGCTTCAGCGTCTCAACCTGGGGTTCAGCGGGTGCCAGCGCGTGCGCGTGCACGCGCGCGCGCGCGCGCGCGCGCGTGTGTGTGTGTGTGTGTGTGTGTGTGTGTGTGTGTGTACGCGCGCGCGCGCGTGCGTGCACGCGTGCACGAACATGATTGCCAGCTGACATGTCTCTAAAAACCAAGCGACAGCATCAGCACATGCGGCACCTGCAACAGTCTGCCCCAATGGACAACCGGCAACTGGCTCAAAGCCCAGCCTCAGGCTACCAGCCCGCAACAGGAATTCACCTTGGTGTTGAACTTGAACGTGTTGGCAATGGTCTCGGCCCCCTCTGGCCCAAGGGGGTTGTAGCCCAGCTCCACGCTCTTCAGGACTGGGTGGCCGCCAAGGGCAGAGCCCAGGGCGGCAGCACCCTCGGGGCCGATGTCGTTGCCGCCTAGGTCCAGGGTGGACAGCTCCCTGGAGGTGTTTGCAGGAGTGTGTGCGTGTTGTTGGTGTGCGTGTGTGTGTGTGTCTGTGTGTCTGTGTGTCTGTATGTCTGACCTTATGTGAGTGTGTGTGTATGCACACGCACGTGCGTGCGCGTGAGTGCTCACACGGAGAGCGCTTCATGCCAGGGAGTCAGGCCGGGAAGCTGCGCTTGGTGGGCATTGCAACACTCCTCGTGCAGGCCTCTCTACACACGCCTTGCGCTGTGCAAAGCATGCAATGGCCGCCAGGAAAAGCATGCGCTGCAGGGGTTGCACAGGGCCGGCTGCAAATGCGGCCACAAAACGCCCCAAATCCGGCCAATCAACACGATGCACCGCCACAAGGCGCGCTACCCACCCCCCTGGCCTCACTTGCAGGCCGCCAGCGCTGGGGCGAGCCGCGCGGCGCCGTCGTTCCCGAGCTCGTTCATGTACAGGTTGACATCCCTCAGGTTGGGCTTGTTGAACAGCAGCCGCGCCAGCACGTCTGAGCTCTCAGAGGTGAGGCTGTTGTTGCCCAGGTCCAGCACCTCAATGGGGGCCTCGCGCGCCTGGCCGTGTGCCGCAGGGGTGGGAGAGGGTGACGGGTGGGCTGGGATCATGAGTGCGGTTCCGGGTTCATGGTCGGCTGTTGCGTGCCACCATTCAAGCGGAATTCCAACCCGGCGAGCTGGGTAGCGGGCAGGAAAGGCCGTATAATGTGTCCTCACCATCAAAACAGGCCTTACCACGTATCCTTGTGTGAGTGTCGTGTGCGCGCACACGATACGCACATTCACAAGTACACGCGCCCCCAAACACACACACGCACACGTACACACATGTCACATACACACACACCCAAGCACACAAGCGCATACGAATGACTAAACGAACAAACAACAACACATGCAGGCAATGATGATGCCTCACGCGCACCCAGTGCCCTACCATGAGTGCCTCTGCAATGGCCTGCACCCCCGCGTCGCCCAGCTCGTTGCCTCGCAGCTGCAGCTCCCTGATGCTGCTGTTGCCCATGAGCGCCGCCGCCAGCGCCTTGGCGCCGTCTGTCCCGATGTAATTGTCATTCAGGGCCAGCCGCGTGAGGGTCTGGTTGACTGCCAGCATGTCAGCCAGGGCCTCTGCGCCCTTCACGTCGACGGCGTTACCACTGAAGAGGGTTTGGGAGGAAGGCCGGCAGGGTGGCGCCTCTCATGAGCGCGCACGCGCATGGGTATGTGCAAGCACATGCCCGCGCAGAGAGGGATGGGGGTTTGAGGCGGGGTTCGCAAGTGGCGGTTTGGGGTGTGGGGTGGGGACATACCTGTCGAGCGCTGTGCTGCGGGACTAACCAACCCCCCGCCCCGGCCCAATGTGAGTGTCTGCGGCCGGCCAGCGGATGGTGGGCAAACTCTGTGCTCGCTGCGCGCTCCCCATACCATGAGCGGCTCCCGCCCCATGCGACGCACCTGAGATCCAGCTTCAAGAGGGTGGTGTTGAGCTTGAGCCCCTCCCCCAAGGCTGCCGCCCCTGCGTCCCCGATCCCGTTGCTGCCCAGGTCCAGCGCCTGAAGGGACGCGTTGCCGCTCAGCTTGGCCCCCAGCAGCTCCGCGCCGTCGTCGCCGACGCTGTTGGTCGCCAGCACCAGCGTCTCTAGGCGGCAGGTGGGCAGCACCTCGCAGAGCTGCGCGATGCCCACACGGCCGATGCCGTTGTTGGCGAGGTTGGCGGCCACGCATGTCGTGTTGAAGGCCAGCGCCTCCACCACGTACGCGGCGCCCTCGTCACCCAGGTTCTTGGCCGACAGGTCGGCCGAGGGCGAGTTCTGGAGGACGGAGGACAACACATTGAGCCGCGCCGCGGCCTCGCGCTGCAGCCGCTTGGCGCTGGCGGCGTCGCCGGCGGCGGAGGCGCCGGCGGCGAGCGCTGTTTGCGCGGTGCCAGATATCGTGCGACGGTAAGCTAGCAGCAGGGCCGCGGCGGTGGCAAGAAGGACGCCCATGAAGACAGGCGTGCCTATCAAGGGCGGCGGCGCGGCGGAGCCGGAGTCCCGTCCAAGGGCCTGCTGCTGCTGTTGCCGCGCTGTCGCCGCTGAGCTGCGAAGATTGGCAGCAGTGTTCTGCTGGAGCTGCTGGCCAGCCTGGGCGGTGGCCTCCGCGATGGGGGCATCCGGCTGCTGCTGGTGGTGGGGCTGCTGCTGCTGCTGCAGCTGCTTCAAGGCGTGCTGTTCTTGCTGTTGCTGCTGCTGTTCTTGCTGCTGCTGGTCATTTGCCGCTGATGCAGCCGCAGCTGCCGCCGCGACCTCGCGCTCCACGTCCGCTATGCTCGTCTCCTGGATACTGGTCGGAGTATTTAGGATCTTTTTCTTGCCAGAACGAGCGCTGCATTGCACGCTGCGTTGACGGAACGCGATCGCCAGGTGCGGGAGCTTGCACGCCTGCGGCCCCCGCCGCTGCAGGCCGCAAAATGACATGCTACGAGTCATTGTGATCCCGTAATCTGGCCTCATGGTAAGCTACAACCTCAGATCACTAGATCCTGTCCGGAACGTCTGCTCGCGGGCTGTACCGGTCGTGTCAATTACGCCCACTCATTGAGACGACCGTTGCATGAACAGCGTACTGATAACCACTACGGTACATGTTTGTGTGGTCAGCCGGGACGAGCGGGATGCAGGGCGGGAACGCGCCCGCCTGGCACCGGTGTGGTTGTAGGAGACTCATAAGTTGAGCTCAGCGCCGCATGTCAATACAGCAGCACATCTGCACGTCTCATCACTTCACACAGCGACCCACCCTTTGCTGTCAACCCCTGCTGATTAAACCGCACCCTTCTCATCCGTGTGTGGCCCTGCGCGTGCTGGGTGCTGTCAGATCTGTTACTTCCGATACACACACGGCATCATACCATACAGCCCTCCAGCGCCTGCTGTGCGAACCCCGCAGTACAACCCCCTCCTGGCTGATAAGCGTTTAAACCTGGGTGCAAGCTGGCTAAATGATGTGCGAGACTGGCGTCGTGAACATCGCACACGAGACCACTGTGACGCACCTGCCGACCACCGTGACGCACTTTCTCACTGCCACAGCTTATTCACGACTCAGCGATGACTCTCAACCACGTCGTCGTGCCGCCAATTAGCCGCGCGCGAGTCCTCACCAGCTCAGCGACATCTCGGTCGCACCGCAGCACCACCCCGCCGCCGCGCATCGCCGCGACGCGCGCGAGGGCCCCGACAACAGGCCCGCCCTCGCTTCGCGGCGGGTGGCTGAACGCACGTGCCACGCACAGGCTGGTCAGGAATGTGAGGCGCAGAAGGTGGTGGGCGTCCAGGCCCTTCAGGCGGTTGTAGGACACATCGATGCGCGACAGGCTGTCCGGCAGGGGCGGCAGCTCCGTCAGAAGGTTGTGGCCCGCCAGCAGGGACTGGAGGCGCAGCAGGGACGACAGCGAGGCGGGAAGCTGCTCCAGCCGATTGTACATCACATCAAGCGTCTGGGCTCAAATTCATTGTATGATTTGAATTGATGTTGGGAGCTCACAGAGAGGTTGTTGAGGGCAGGGGAGCAGCGCAAAGGCTTTGCTCGTGCAGCTACCGGCCAAGGCAATACCTGCTGCCACACTTGAATCCTCAGAGCCACGGGCCATGCAGATCCTGTGCTTAAAGCCGAGCCTTTGGCGTGCAATCTCAACAGGAAGGAGCAACGCAGTCGCACCCCCCCCCCTGGTCCAGCTCACCTCTAGGTTAGTGAGCCGCCCCAGGCTGGTTGGCAGCGAAGCCGCTGCTGTCCAGTTGATGTACAGCCGCCGCAGGCCCGTCAGCTGCCCCACAACCGCAGGCAGCTCAGTCACGCCCCCACTGTCCGCAATGCGCAGGGCGCTCAGGTGGCTGGTTCGGTCGCCCCCGCGTGCCGCTGCGTCCAGCGCCGCCACTACGCGCCGCACAGCTGCATTGCCGGGTGCTGCCCTGACTTCGCAATACGCCAGGCGCTCAAACAACAGCGGCAGCAGGCGCCTGCCATCCTGGCAGCCGTCGCAATTCTTGTTGTCGCAGCCGTTGCAGGGACTGTCAGGGGCAATGCATGTGACACGAGTCACCACAGAGTCGAATGCCGCCCGCCAATCGCGGCACACAGGGCGCACGTGGGCCTTCAAGCAAGCACGCGCAAGATTGGGCGGACACAAGCCGGGCGTTAAGGTGGTACATGGAGGTCCGGATGGAAAGGGTTCACAGCAAATGAGGAGGACCGGCCATGTTGCAAGGGGTGCAGGGCTGTGTTGCAAATGGCGGCTGCATCGCAAGGGGCGGCCGTGATGCCCCACATGGAGAGGCTGGATGCTCAGGGCACTGCTGCAGACTCACCGCCAGGCCCCCGACGTCTAATAGCACGATGGATGCCAAAACCTGAACATATGCATGTGTGACATTGGAATGCGCGCCGTAACGGCATGTTGCGTGTGCGCAACTCGTCCCAGCCATCAAGCTTGCTCCAGCTGTTTTGATCGTTGGACCAAGGCATGGCGACGCGACTACAAGCAGCCATAGCTGCAATTGAATGCAGCGGATAGGAAACAGCCTTTTCGCAGCATATGAAGGTCCATGCTCATTGCATGCTCACATTCTCCGGCAGCGCGGGCGTCGCAGTGCTGCTAATGTCGTCCGCGCTGTCTATGCTATCGGCGCCCCGCTCTGTACTCATTCCGCTGGCAGGTCCCTCGCCAACCATATTTTGACTGGAAGTAGGGCTTGATGACAGTGCCGGCCAAAAAGGCACCGGGGTGTGCACCGACCCGCTGTGCTTGATCGGAAGGAGCCAACGGTATCATAGGTCTTCGAGGACGTCTGACGTCCTGTGTCTACTTTGCGTGTTACATTGGTACGGTATCATAGACGCGGTGGCTGCCGCAACTCAACACTCGCGAAGAAAGTAAGAACCGAGCACCGTACAGTAGACCAGGGCCCTGATTTTCACGTTTGCACAGCGTTCGGAGATATTTGCAGGCAGTATCTTCCGGCAGCATCACAGCAAGGGCGACCTTGCAGGCATGGCGGGGGAAGGCGGGGTTGCTGCTGCTGCACAAGCAGACCGACAGGGGCCAATGATCGTCAGCGTCGGACAGGTACGCTGGTTGAGTGATACATATTGCATGCACCAGTACAAATGATATCGCTCTGGGGCCGCGGGCTTCAGGGTGGCTGGAACGAAGCTCGCAACGGCACAGCGCTGCTTTCTTGCCCCCTTGGAGTCGTCTACGGTTTTGTTAGACTGTTAGAATTAAAATATGCCGGACACCAGGGCCGTTCACCCGCTGCGCACTCGCATGGCAGACCGCACTCGGCGCCGCACTCCGCTCAGCGCGCACTGCACTACAACACGACGTGTTTCACCAGAGTCGGCCCTGCTCCTCAACAGGTCTCATTTCTTCTGACCTACCTGTGGGCTCTGGGACTGTACTTCTACTCCCTTGCGCTGCACCAGAAGCGGTGCGTGGTTGAAGCAGTGGTCAAAGGCGCGGAGCGCCAGAGCAGCAGTCTCCAATGCGCCGAGGCAGACGTGCGCAATCGCTGTCTGCAGGCAGCTGGCAACATGCACTCTCCTAACAGCTTACCGATGCTCCGCCCTCGTCCACAACCTCAGCAGGACGACTCGAGCCCTCTCAAAGGCTCACTTGTCAGATGTGCAGCTCCCCGAGTTTGACTCGGCGAGCAAAGGGGGCGAGTCGACGCCGCTCGTGAGCCCGGAAGGCCGGGGGTCCGACAGCGCCCCTGAGCATGCGGTGCATTCGTCGCAGAAGCTGGGCTTCTTTCAGGACGCGGCCAGCAGCGGCCTGATCAAGTGAGGAAGGGGGAGGGCTGGGCTGGACAAAAGCCTGTGACGGTTGCTTGCAGCGCACAGTTGCTTGACATCAACTTGCGAAACCAGAATTTTGGCCCTGGTTGCTGCAACACAGCCCTGAACATGAATGGACGCCGCAGCAGGGCTTTGAACTTATGTGGCTGCCAAAATTGGTCGCATGCCCAGTTCGGCATGCGCCGTGGCGTGGTGTGGTGAATGTTTACGTACAAAGCGCACCAGTTGCAGAGGGGTGTGCATTCAACTGCACCCTCTTTGCCTCTGGTTAATCTCAGGTGTGTGTTATTGGACCAGCAGGCGCTATTGGACGCCAAGGACACGCTGCAGGCTATGTGGGTGGCAGTAGACGAGGCAGACACACGCCTGGGTTGCAGCAAGCGTTTGAGCGGCGCCCAGGGGTGCACGCGGCAGTCTTGAGGTGGAGTCGCTGCCCGCTACTGTTGGTGCGGGCCTGCACTGCCCCAGAGGGAGCAGCATTAGCTGTCGACAATGGAGAGCGGCAGCGGGTAGCAGGGTTGTACAGTGTCGCGCATGCACTGACGCGGTTGCTGTCGCATGCCTGCCCTCGTATTTTGACAGCGTGGAGTTTGGCACCATCATGGTGTGGTTCTTCCTGTGCGACCGCACGGACCTGCTGCCAGCGTCAGAGAAGGTTGGTAGGGGCCGGGGGCCGCACTCATGGGTGGCCTTTGCTGGGTGCCGGCATGACGCCCTGCAAGGCTCGCAGCACCCCCCACACGCTGTTGCCTCATATTGACAGACATTTTGGTGTGGTGCGCTTGCGCATGGCACATACTCCTAGGCGCATGTGACCTCCTAGGCGCATGCTCCTGCGCCTTCTTCTGTTTTCGACAGGTGACCTAATGGCACCACCGCCTCCTGTCCACCCTCCCCTCCCCCCCCCCCAGCACTACGAACGCGACGTGTTTCTGTTCATCTTCCTGGTACTCACCATCGTGGCATTTGGGTATAGCCTGCAGCCTGTGCGCACAACGCTGCTGCTCAACCGACCTCAGACGGAAGAGTGGAAGGGGTGGATGCAGGTGCGGCACGCGCGCAGCACGCACCAGCCATGGGGACAGTGACTGCAACCGCCAAAGTTAGCTGCGGAGGCTGCCCTGGCCCTGCACCATATTGTTATCAGCCGCAGACAACACGCCATATTCACACAGCGACACGCACCCACTGCCTGCCCTATCCCCCAAAGGTGCTGTTCCTACTGTACCACTACTTTGAGGCACGCGAGGCGTATAACGCCATCCGCATCTTCATCGCTGGGTACGTGTGGATGACCGGATTTGGCAACTTCTCCTACTATTACCGCACGGGCGACTTTGGCATCGGGCGGTGAGCAGTAGCGGTGGATGGCGGGCTGCATAGGGAGCGACCAGGGGGTCGTGGGCTTGGGTGCGGTCGAGGAGGAGAGCGCCAGCATTTTGTCTTGAAATCATGTCAGCAAGGATGGATCTGTGCATGTGGGGTGCTCCTGTGCCCCATCTGAACGTGTTTTTCGATTTCCTTGCAGGTTTTGCCAGATGATGTGGCGCCTCAATTTCATGGTGTTCTTCACATGCGTGGTGCTGCAGGTGGGGCTTCCTTGTGTGTCATGCAGAGCTGGCGTCAGCCCCTGGGTTTCCATTGTCGTCCAGCATCGTGCACCTCAACGCAGCAATATCAGGGGACCTTCCAAGCCATCATCCACACCGTACTCAAGGCGTGTCAGCAACCCCACTCGCATGCCCTGCGCAACCACTTCACCCCCCCCCCATAAAAGAACGAGTACATGCTGTACTACATCTGCCCAATGCACACGCTGTTCACCATCATGGTGTACGGGGCCCTCGCCCTGGCGCCACAGCTCAACAAGAGCCACCCCTGGCTCTGGGCCAAGTGAGCCGTCCTGTCCCAGAGCGGGCTAGGGAGGGGTGGGGTACGTCTGCCGTGGTGCCGGCATCGCAAACCGTCAGACTGCTAAGTCCTCGTGATTCAACTCAACATCGCAGGCCTGATTTGTGCTGCACCTCTGCCGATCAGCGCTGGCGGGCCTGCTCTGGCTCACCCATCTGCTTTGTCCGCGCCGTCCGTGCTCCTGCTCAGGATCCTGGGTTGCCTGGTGACCGTGCTCGTGTTCTGGGACATCAAGTCGGTGTTCTACGCCCTCTGGACGCCCTTCGATTTCCTCATGGGTTACACAGACCCCCGCAAGTCGGACAACGACCGCCTGCACGGTGGGCATCGGCAGCATCAGCAGGCGCGATTGCGTGGCCATGCGGGAGGGCGGGCCCAACAACTCTGGAGGCGGGTCCAGCCGTGCCCTGGGCTGCAGTCGCAGCCCACCGTGGCATCAATGTTCTGGGCCTTTGGCCACCATCCTGGCTGCCACTCCCCAGCGTTTGTTGGGGGTTGCCTTCCCCCTCCCGTGGCCCGCTTCTGTGTCCTGCCCTCCCCCTCCCCTAAACCCTCCCCCACTCTCTCCACCAGAATGGTACTTCCGTTCGTCCCTGGACCGCTTCATCTGGGTTTACGGCATGGCTTGCGCGATGCTGCACCCCTATGTGGGTGGCTGTCCACGAGCCGAGGGCGGGAGCATGACTTGGGAGGCGTCGTTGGTGGTTGTCGGGGCAAGGTGAAGCCGATCTGACGGCAGTTAGCTGCCCTCACCATCGCCCACACTGACGCTCTCGCGCTTGCTGCACACCTCCGTGGCGCCCCAGGCATCCAAGGCGCTCACGGCGATCGACGAGATGCCGCCGCCGCGCCGCTGGACGGTGCGAGCCGCCGTGGTGGCAGCCACCTGCGCCGTGTTTGCGGTGTACTACCGCAGCATATACGTGCTGCCAAAGATCGAATACAACAAGGTGAGTCGGGATGTGTGTGCTGCACTGGGGCATGTCAGTGTTCTGTCAGGGAGAGAGAGAGAACGAGAGAGAGAGAGAGAGAGAGAGAGCGAGAGAGAGAGAGAGAGAGAGAGAG